GTCAGACTGTAAAACTACACACACTGCAGATTCATACTGGATTAAAATCACTCCTCAATTATTACTGTCAGACTGTAAAACTACACACACTGCAGATAATAATAATATTTCAAAATAATATTTCATTTAAAAATTGTCTCTGACTCATGCAGGGCTTTCCCGCTCTTACAGCACCTCCAGCTTTCTTTCTCTCTGAACACTGTCCTGTAGCCCCTCCCCTACCTGAAAGAGCGCTCCGGTCAGCTTGCAGAGCTCCTTGCCGAAGATCCACTCATTTGCAGCCTCCACTGCCCACAGGGGCATGGTCAACAGCAGCAGGATGTCGGCCACGCTCAAGTGAAGGACAAAGGTGTCTGTCACGCTCCATGTCCTCTTCTTCTGCCACAGGACCACCAGGACCAGCCCGTTACCCAGAAGCCCAATTACCACCGCCAAGGAGTACAGGATGGGAATAAAGATGGCTTCAAAGGCCATGCTGGCTTCCTGACCGCACACCGTCCCACAGCATGATTCTCCATATTCATATGATTCATTGTAGGTGTAATTTTCTTCAAGAAAGCTAAAATCTGAAGAATACAAAGTAAACTTTCCACCCGAATCCATTTTCTGACAGAGAAAAAGAGAAAAACCATCACTGTGAAACCTCGTCTCTCCAAACTGTTCATTTCAGAAGAGAAGGAAAAAATGAATGTACATTAAAGTCATGTTGGCCCGTTCATCGTGAAACATGCACCACAGTGTGAAGGGCATGCAAAAAAAAAATTAAGAGGTTTTAATATGACAGTGTCAGCGTGAGACGCGTCTGCACCAACCACATCACACATAGTTTGTTACAAAGTTAAATGTCTCGTAACGCTTTAAGCCATATGTACAATTTGGCCAAATTACATGTTTTGATGACATCTAAGTGAAAATAAGTAAAGTACATCCATACATAAAGTGTGACATGTACAAACATTATGACACAATATGTGAAACAATTCAGTAGAAGTTGTGCACTTAAATTTGCAGCCATATTTGTTCCCGGTAGAGGATGTGTTGACTAAGAAAATCAACAAAACATGTAATTTGACTGGGGATGTTACATATGACAATACATTTGTTATACGCTTCATAGGAGTTCATAATCACTCTTTCCAGTAATTTAAAACCATGTTTTAATTTCTTGAATGTTTTCATTGTAAAGCTACTCTAAAACTTTATAGCTTTCAAATAATTACTAGGAAGCTATGAAAATGAAGAAATGTTAGATGTGTCCAGAATGATGACCAGAGCTGTAGACATGGCTGTCGGCAAAAAGACATTTGTTCCCCCATATTTGAAAGTGCTGGGGCGATGCCCCCCTAATTTTTGAGTGATTTCAGGACGCTAAAATTGAAAAATAAAATTCCCACTCTCCCTTAACTTCACGGACTGCTGACCTACAGACAGACACACAAACGGTCAAACCCAGTCACAGAACCCATCAAAATCTCTGTTTCGGCTTGGGGTGGGACATTTCCTGAACAACAAAACCAGTGTGATTTCCTGTTTATGTTACTACACTACGTGAAATTTTACTAAATGTCAGTTTCCGTATTTCTTGCTGCTGCCTTGCTGAAGAAATATGATGTTCTTCAGTGATGTTAGTTAGCAGAGACGTTATGAAGGAGAAAGGAAAAGGAAGGGAAGGGAACTTTAGTTTGGTTTGACAAAGACGGTTAATAAGTATTTAGATAATTAAATATAATTTTGATAACTTAATTAGGTTTATATATTAATTCCAGGTTGTTGCTTTTGAGATTGCTATTGTGTTACAGCTTATTTTTGGGGCTGTGCTTGGTGGTTGTTAGGTGGTTGCTAAGGTGTTGCTGAGCTATTGCTATGGTATCCCAGGTGGTTGCTAAGATGTTGCTGACCTATCCCTATGGTATCCCACGTGGTTGCTAAGATGTGGCTGAGCTATTGCTATGGTATCCCATGTGCTTGCTTAGATGGTTGCTAAGGTGTTGCTGAGCTATTGCTATGGTATCCCACGTGGTTGCTAAAATGTTGCTGAGCTATTCCTGTGGTATCCCAGGTGGTTGCTAAGGCGTCACTGAGCTACTGCTACTGTAACCCAGGTGGTTGCTAAGATGTTGCTAGACCATTTCTATGGCAACCCACGTGGTTGTTAAGACATTGCCTCGCTGTTGCAATGGAATCCAATGTGGTTGCTAAGATGTTGTTGAGCTATTACTATGGTATCCCACATGGTTGCTAGCATGCTTGTATGAGGAGCGTCCAAAAACATTTGTCTAGAGTGTACACTAGCTGTGGTTGCTAAGTAGTTGCTAAAATGTTGATGAGCTATTACATTATTGAACACTGTGAGTAAAATCAGTTAAAAAAAAAAGCACAAGCAACCTATTCGGGTAAATTGGCTACTGCAATGTTTTGTGGTTCTAGCGTGAAAGCTGTAGGAGTAGCATTGTGCATTTTTGACCATGGAAAAATGAAAAAAAGAAAACTTTTTCAAGCCAACTTAATTATTATCCAGAATGCCTCGTGATCAAATCTTGAGGCAGATATGTTATCAAGAAATTATTATATGTAGATAATTACAGCATATTATTAATAATATTTTTATGGTGTTCCCAAAAGACTTGAGTTTTAAACACTCAATCTACACTGTATAACTTAGAATTGTATATTTCTAAAGTTAACGCAATTAGAATTTCACCGAATTTGTAACACGACTCAAAGAGGGTGATACTTCCTCTTTCCTGCAGGTGACCTGGCACAGACTGCTGAGAGTGAGGATGTGGTTTCCGAAAGTGGGGAGATCTGGGTGCGATAAGTCTCATTAACTGTGTCACCCAAAATTCTTTTCTTCTAATTTTAAGTATGTGGTGATGGCAGTTTGCAGAGTGTTGCCCAACAGTGTTGCCACATGAGCCTGTATGTGCCCTAATACCCTGATGAATGACATAAGAGGTCATTTTTTACACTCTTAAAAAATGGTTCTTTAAGGGTTCTTTAGTAAAGGCAGTTGTTCTATATAGAATCATGAACCTTTTACATGCTTAAATGTTTCTTCAGATTGATGGGGAATGTGTGTAGAACCTTTTTGCAAAGGGTTCTGTATAGCACCAAAAATAGTTCTTGTATTGTTACAAGCATCGTAACAATAGCAGAGCCCTTTATGGCGCTACACAGAACCACCTACAACACATTCTCCATCAGTCCGAAGAACCTTTTTATCATGCAAAGAACCACTTGAGCATGCAAATCGTTCTTTGAGTGTTCAGAACCGTTGTCTTTATTAAAGAACCCTTAAAGAACCATCTTTTTTAAGAGTGCAGGTCTTATTACAACAATATATTGGTGCTGTCTGAACAAAACCTTGTATCTCGAAAAATGATAACTTTACAGCAGAAGGAAAAAACTGCTTCACTTTTAATGTAAGTCAGTGGAACCAGACTTTTTTCCAAGTCATTTTGGGCTGTTTATTTTGGACCTTTCATCATGAAATTGTGACACAATGTAAAGGGCAACAGACATTTTCAAATTATGTCAAAAACTGAAAAATGACAAAATTGGAGATATGAGGTTTTGTTCTGGCAGCAGCAATATGGTGCAATATCGGCAGAAAATGCTGGACTGGGCATCAGAGAGGTAAGAAAAGCAATGAAGCCCATCCTGAAACACCCACACCCACACTAAGTGGTGTGATGTTCGCCGTGTAGCTCTTCGTGAGGGATAGTAGAGTTTTGGGTTGTTTGAGTGTAATAGCTGACCTTTCGGCGGCCCTTATAAATGAAGTGTTCCAGTTAAAAACGGCTAATTTTTAAAGCTTGGCAGCTTGTAAAGATGAAATTTTGCATCTGTATCAGTATCGGCCAGGGTTACTCAGGGTTTTAACATTAGTATTTGGGGGGGGGACATAGTGCCAATTATTCATTTTTCTTTCCTACATTTTGGAAAACAAAACAAATAGAAGCCCCTCCTTTCAAAGAAATGATGCATTTCATGGAACTGAGCTAAATTATTGGAAATGAAAACTGAAATTATGTGTGGAGGCTGTGTGACTAATATCTGCGTCTTCTCCACAAGTTGAATCAAGCGCTTCGACTCAAGGTAAGTGAAACTACTTAAGTTCAGGTTTTGTTTTATGTTCTTTTTTTTCCCCTCCAAATGCAAGTGAAGGTTTCATTGTAATATCAATATTGTTTTATTTATATATCTATATTCCTGCATTCTAATATAAAGTATGTTTGATTAAGAAACTGATCATAGAGAGCGCATGCATGGCTGTTTACGCTAGAAAATAATACTCGTACCGTGAACAGATATTTTAGCCGACAGTGTTAAAATACAGAAAATAAAATAATCCGGTTCCTCAAAAAATGAGGAATAATAAATTATGAATTAATAACAGAAAAATATAGTACACTGTAGTCTTCAGTAATCTTTAAATAGTGAGAGAAGTGAGAGATACGTAAACTCAAACAGTTCTGACTAAACAGCTCTGGCGTAATATTTACAACACATTTTAACGAAATAAAAACTTACACGAGGCCTGTAACCAGTCCGAGTGTGCAGTCAAGTTGTGTCCGTCTGGTTGGTTCAATGCAGAGATAAAGACTGAGAGCAGATAGAGAGAGAGAGAGAG